TTGGCTAGAAAAGGACGATCGATGACATTTCCCATATAAATTTATATATAAAATGACAGCTATATTCATTTCATAGCCATCGCTAATGCCGTTTTTTCCCGATTATACGATATGAACTTGGTATGAACACAATCGAACGTCAGGAAGTGGTATCATAATAGTAGAACAATACTTATTTTATTGTCGCCGAATTACAATGAAAATTCAGGATTCAATTATACAATCAAACGTCAGGAAGTGATTGTAATTTAGCTCATAAGATTTAATTCCAACTAACATGGCAAATTGAAAAAAACAGCTCTGATCTATTTTAATATGTTTAAATGATGTAGCAAATTTGAAGGTAGGTTTTATCAGGAAGTATTATTTTGGATATGAATTACACAATGGCAACACTGCACAAAATTCTTTTAAATTTTGTTTGTAGAAAACTGTTTTCTTTTAAATTTATTGCCCTCTATTAAGTAGTAGCGAAACTACCGCATCAAAATATCTGATTTGGAGACAGGCTTTAAAAGCCTGTCTCCTTTTGCTACCTACAGTTTTATACATGTAACGAGGCTTCTGTTGCGTAGCAAGATATTCTGTGGTATTAGTGTATAAATAATAACAAAAAAAAATGTTGACAAAATGGTGAATGCAGCAAAAATTTTTCAAATATTTTAAAAAATGTTGACAAAATGGTGAATGCGCCAAAAAATTCTCTTCAAAAATTAAATCTTCACCTAATTTTATACCCACGAGTCGCCACTGGGAGGGACGCTTTGATCCAACATTTTACTATTAAATTTCATATCTATCTTAGTAGATGGTTATTTTCTTTTATCTATGACCTAGGCATAGAATCTTCTAATCACGTTAAATCCATTTCATCGGGTGATGGAAATCCTTAACTAAAGGTCCAGAAATAAAAGCGACAAAATACAATTTCAGGTTCAATATCACCCCTAGCGGATTCTAGCAGTTTTTAATACATGGATCTAGAGGGTAGACATTTTCCATCTTCGATAGTTGGCAACCCTGCTTTTATCATTGGGTATAGTGATGGGCAAAACTGTTATTTTTAGATAACAGTTGAAACTGTTATAGTTATTTATAAAAAACAGCTTAAAATAACGCCTTAAAAATAACAGTTTTTTTTTTATTTTATTGCTAAATATCTGAAAGAGTATGAGGCGGTCACCGCCAGGCGTATTAACGCAGTTGCAAGTTGCAACAATGACATGCTCGGTGGTAGTATTTCCAGGGTGTCAAAACATTTCTAAATATCGATTGTTATCTAAAATACCTCTCTAAAAACGGTGGTTGTTTACAACTAAGCGCTGTTTACAAATTGCGATATAAAAAAGCCAAAATTCCGCCACTCGTCTATACCTATACAATCCGATCTACCTACGCCTTGCCCCTCGATCCGCGTATATCCTGAATTGCGTAGCAGTGTACAGGGTGCATCTCACTCGACGGGCGAGAAGCTCTTAGTTATAATTTTACCATTTGCGGTCAAAAAATAGCAATATAAGAAAATGTGTAGTATATTCTTCATAAGTAAACCAACTACACACTAGAGTTCGAATTAATTTTACACTTAAACTAGCGTGTACCCGCGACTTCGTTCGCGTCGAATTAATAATTTGTAATGGTGATGATAAAGCAAAGCAAGAATTTCTATTAACATACAAACTGGATAAAATTTTCTCACATTTGCCAAAAATAAGCTTTAAACGTCGAGCAGTTTAAGCAGAATCGTGGTTAATCAATTATTCAACTTTTTGGAACACCCTGTATAATTTTTTAAAAAATTTCAAAATATGTAAAAAAACAAAATAAATTATGCGTGTCCAAGCGTTTTCCCGAAAGACTAACCGTTTTTTAAATAACAAATATTGTAATATTTGAGGGGCGTTTTCACCCTCTTAGAATTTGAGATTCGAGAAACCCCTCCTTATCGAACCTCAACCCCACAGTCAATCCGTTTGCCAAAAATCAGCTTTAAACGTCAAGCAGTTTAAGCAGAATCGTGATTACCCAATGGTCATATTTTATGAAACACCCTGTATATATTTTTAAAAAATCTTAAAATATGTAATACAACGAAATAAAATATACGTGTTGAAGAGTTTTTTCTAAAAACTCACCGGTTTTTAAATAAAAAATATTCTAATATTTGAGGGTGGTTTCACCCCCTTAGAATTCGAGTTTGAAAAATCCTTTCTTATCGAACCTCTACACCCTAAAGTCAATCCGTTTTCCAAAAATCAGCTTTTTACGTCAAGGGCTTTAAGCAGGATCGTGATTTATCAATGACCAGATTTTTCAAAACACCCTGTATACATTTTTAAAAAATCTTAAAATATTATTCTGAAAATTTTTCAGAATAAACACCTAAATATTGAAACTTAATAACGTACTGAAACATACAGCGCCATAATATCTCGACTTCCGCCCGTTATGCTCGTAACAGGTTGGAAAACAATGTATCTAAAACAACTGATGCGTTATTCTCCAACCTGTTTCGAACCTCAATCGACCGATGCAGCAGCATTCCTTTCCCACTCCGATTATCTCGACCGCCGCCCTGTTATGCTCGTAACAGGTTGAAAAACAACGTATCTAAAATGACTGTGAATGACTGCTTCTCCAACCCGTTGCGAGCCTCCATCGACAATCGACCGATGCAGCAGTGTTCCTTTCCCACTCCTGTTATCTCGACCGCCAGGCGTAATCATAAAGGGCGTAATGCCCGATGCCCGCAACTGTTTCAAAAAACCTGCTTCTTTTATATCCTATTATTTTTAAGCTGTTGCAAACCCAATACGACCATCGACCGAAGCAGCTACGTTCGCCGTAGCGCATTCCCCACTCCGTTGTCCGTTGTCTCGCCGCCTGTATCGATGGTTGACGAAATAACATGTTTTCCATCCATACTAGTTGTTTTTTGGAATTGCTTCGAGCAGCATAGAATTTCGTGGCGGTGCAGAGCGCCGACTTCGTTTTTGGTTTCACGAGCGGCCGATCTCTACGTGTCGTTATTTTATATCTGTTATTTTTTAGAAGTAGTAACGGTTGCGTTATGTTATTTCTAAATAATTGTTATAAAATAACAGATAGTTAAATAACAACCCATCACTAATTGGGTATGCCCAAGAAGTACCGCATAAGCTTTATGTAACTAATAACTCAATATTTCGTTTTTGTTTGGTGCGAACTCTCTGACATACCCTGTATATACAGTTCTGAAAAGATAGCTACTATTATCATTGAGTAAATTTGGTCAATATTCATATCTTGCTAAAGTTTGTCCAACGAATCAAGGAAGATTTCGACAGACGAGATCCACAAAATGACAGAAAATACTATTTACCTTTGAATAAAAACGATAAACTGTTACTGTCACATATTCGCAGACTTTAGGGTACGTTTATGTTGGAGCTGCGATAAACGATAAAAGCAGTGAATTAGCGCTGCTCTTATCGTTGCTCAACTGCCAAGCGTGTCTCGACCCGTTGCTCCAATATAAACACCTACATACGTTTATCGCCGCTCCAACATAAACGCACCCTTAGCTAAATAGATGTAGCACACTTAGATATTATAAGAAGGTGGCACAATAAAGGTTCGCGCCCACTTTATTAGATATTTCAGGACTTTAAATCTTTTGGATTCTAATGCCAAAAGAGTACAGAGATAAAAAGAAAAAAAATAGGTCTCGGGATTAAAAAAAATATTCTCATATATTTGAAGTTCATGTCCAATATGAAATTTACAATACTATAACCAATATTATAAATTCACCAAAGGGCAATAATAATTAATATATGTTACAAATACACTATTATTTTAGATCTCCTGTGATTATGTGTATTGTAAAAGCTATTGGTATATTTGATATCAATTAAACTTTTAGTTACGTAGTCGAGGGCGCGCTTTTTAAATTCACTGTTGCCAACCATGGACATATTTGATGCCACACTGACTAACTGGAATTTAAATTTTCAGGATGTGTGGATTCAGGTGGTAGATCTGCTGTAAAAAATGCCAAGTTGCCACATTTATTTATTTATTTCCTGACAATGTCGTTCGTTTTGAGACTTTAGTTTTGTATTACGAGTTTTTGGTTTAAATAAATAGTGTTGTAACACTTAAAAATGTTTACTAGCAGACCTTGTAATCGAACATTGTTCTTTTTAGAACCTCTTTTAGTGCGAAGTGTACAAGATAGCTTAACAGCCGTAAAAAACTCATCCCAATTTTATTAGAATATTTTGAACGGGAAGGCGGTAGTAATAACCCTTTATGTCTCTTAAGTGCTGTTAAGAAGGTGAGTTTTGGTGATGTAAATAATAAGTATTTATATATTTACAATTAATTTATTTTTGTTTCTTAAAATATTTTGATTTAAAGAAAATATGTATATGGACAACGCTGTGCCGGTCAAGCTTAATCACGTGACTATCGACCCAATCAGTACCTCTGTCAGTACCTTAAGTTCTAGGGAAAGGTGTACATCATACGTTCAGCTTCACGATTTAATTACGTCTCGCGATACTTTATTTGTTTATTTATTAACGAGTCGTTGTAATTTATCCCAGAGCATGAAAATGTTTAAGTGCAAGTTAGAAACACTTACATTTTTGGTAAAAATAAATAAGTGGAATTGAGTTGGTATTCGACAGTGGTCGCGCTATTAGAACTCTAAATTCAAAATGAATCGATATCTCAAAATGTATTAAAAATAATTGATTAACTTAACGATATCCTTATAATTCAATTTCAGATGCTCAGAAACATATCTAATGATTTTATCTAGTTATATTTTCGAATAAAAAGTCGTTTAAAAATAAGCGGTTTGCGATCGTGATTTTACTTTACATGATAGGGATAGGCGTACCGGCAACGCCGCAACAGCAGACCGTCGAATTTCTCTCACTCCGACTTAATAAGATCCCTATGCGATTTACTTCCACACATGTAAGTTCCGACCCAAAAGTAACAGTTGCCAGCACTTTATATATGTCTATTGTAAATTTTATTTCACAGAAACTTCAAAATAGAATCATTAAATATCAAAGTGAGTAATCATATAAACTGTATTCCTATTTCGCGTTATTTTTACATTTAGATTATACAAAAATTAAAAAGTTTTAAAATGGTTTAGTTAAAGCAGCTTTAAAATAGATGTTGGAAATGTGTTTTTTTTTGTTTTAACACAACTCTATAAAGTTTTCCTTCAGAATTTGATGAAAATAAACATGGCCAGCAGACGTGTGCTCAAAATAGGACTGCCGTTTCGTAGTATCTTGATTTATATTTGGTTAAGATTACAATGTACATTTCAATTTTAAAGTCAATCATAAAGAAAAAAATGTGTAGGCATTCATATATAATAAATATATATTTAACATAAATTCAATTAACTTTCTATTTATTACTCTAAAATATTAGCTATACCTTCAATAGCATATTTTTGGCCACACATCACAAACGTGCATATAAAAAAATCTTAACAATATTTATCCACAAGAAAATTTAGGTAAAAAATGGACTTTTTTCTGTGACAAAAATCGATTCATATTAAAACGAAGGACTATATTGATTTTATGATCCCAACGATGAATTCACTGATTCACTCGGATTTTGTATGATTTTGAACAGAGTTCGAATTATTCGAGTCCACGCTGTAGTCCTCACTACTAGAACGAATATCTCCTTCCATTTGTCCGGCATTGAGTGAATTATACACTATTTTGAGTATCAAGTACGTCCAGAAGATGTGCAAGACCAATAAAATGCATAATAAACTGTTAAAAATGTAGTAAGCAGGAAACATTGGAACCATTTGTGGGGCTTTGATTGATGTGCTAAGAAAAATAAACAATATTTAGTAATTTTGAGCCATAACAACCTTCTACACTTACTTGTATATTATCCAAAAAGGAAAAATTCCTACCCTCGTTATAATCCATAGTACAGTAAATATAGCAAATATCACATCACATACTTTCTGGTAGCCTGAATACTTCGCCATTTTTGCGCCCTAAAAAAATACACTAAATACAGTTGAATATTTAGCTATAGTCAGTCCAGCAAAAGAAATAGTATGAAATGTTAAAACCAGTAATAGTACGAAAAACTATAAGCTTGGTGCATTCTCCGCCGGTGCTGCCACCATCGGAGAATATCGTAAACAGCTAGTATATACAAATACACGAGTTTAAATAGCGAGTATACGAAAAATTTATTATTTAATTATTCTAAAAGTGTTAGGAAGTATAATTTGTGAAAATTCTAAAAATAAAAATAATAAAAGTAAATATTTTGATATCTTCAGATGGTCTAACTTGTACTATAATTTAATATTCTAGCTAAAAAGCTTTTTAGATGAGTTCAACTACGGTAGCTAGCATAGTTTTAATCACCGGTTTTGCTAGTGAGGCCATAATTGGGGCTATTTCGGCTATAACGAAATTTTTTTAAAGGTTGCAGACCAAGCCTATATTGCTACGGGATTTCTATGTTATTTTGATGCAATTTTGTACTTTTTTAAATGTCGCCTGTCAAAATCATGTATTTTCTGGCTGAACAGGCTATATTTAAAAAAAAATATTTTATTTTGTAGATTTTCTTGCAGTGCAGTGGCGAAATACCCATAAAAATCTCTTTTTAAAAATACTTTACCTCTAAAAATATGTCGGCGCAATCATGAAGTACCAGTACTAAGCTACCTATTCTAAAAACATTAACTATCCAAGACAAAACCATCAGGACTATTGTAGCTATGTGGTGAATAAACATCTGCCAAAAATCTTTCCGTTTAACGTCAAAAAACTGAGAAACGCATAAAGACCAATAAAATGACATGCTGATGATATAGTACCACCAAATGTCATTTGGAAGACTCTGGTGTGGAAAGTCCTTCCTAAAATAGTTAAATAAGAAAGTATAATGCAGATAACTGATTTATTTTTGTCTTTATTTGTATATAATTATTAGTCCCTTTAAAAAAAGTAGTATTTAATAATGTCTAGATTACAAAGAGTATAAGGAAAGTAAAAAATATACATATTATCAGAAGGCTATGAATGATGACAGATAATTCTTATGGGAAGTTACATTAGAGTTTTGTCAAAATCATAGCCCGCCTGATCATAAAACTTGTTATTATACAGTACCGTTACTGTACAGGGTGGTCGAAATTGGCCTGTTTTAACAGAGAAAACCTGTTTCCTCACTAGATAGAGCAAAACCGACATAGATGTCATGGGCTCGATTTCTGAGACACGTTTAATGGCGTAAATAACCTGTTGATATTTTCACTGACAACTGAGATACGGGGTCTTTTTGATTTTTTTACCATTTGGAAAATTGCCCATAACTTTTGTATTTCGCGGAGTAATAAAATTCTGTAAAAACCTTCTTAAGGCACTTTTTTAAGCGCAATCCAGTGGCGTAGTCAGTTTTTTTCTGCGCTTGCTCTTTTTGTCAGAAATAATAAAAATATAATTTTTTAAATGGAAATCATAGCTGGCTATGAACTTAAAAAAATGCTGGTATTTAACCCTTTCTAACGATATAAAGTTATAGGCATTTATTTCTAAGAATGAGAGAAATATTAGGTTTTTTAACTTTGTATCGAAGCGGGCCTTGATTTTGTGTTGATCTAGATGCCTAATTATTTTTTATCACAATTTAATGTTCTATATTATTATTTATCTGCATAATTAAAGACTTTTGAAAAGGTAAATCAACATTCTATATTAGTATTACCCTTGTATATGGATTTTTAAAGTAGCTCAACCTAAAACGTTTATGGATGTAAAGCACCAGATGGCGGGGCGTATTTCACGGTCTTTTACTACAGAAAAATATTTTTTGTTACTCTGAATTTTGAAGCGACCAATAAAAACAGAGAAAATAAAAATCGATAATTTTCGGACTGTGCCTATTGGTTACTAATCGACCAGATACTTTTTGTCTATTAGATATGCTATAAAAGCCGGTAATTATACAATTCGACCATTGTAAATACCCGACAAATTTTGCAAGGCCGACGAGGCCGATGCTTTTCACTGATAAGAAAAAAAAATGTTTGTTTAGATAATTTGCGAGATATTTTTTCTTTCTGAATGCACATTTTTAAAATATTTTATATTCTTTGCCCGCTTGATCTATTATACTGGTCGCACGTATCGAAGTTCTGTTTCTTCTAGTTTTAAAAAATGTTCTTATTTCTTTGGAGTGGTTGTAGTGTAAAATTAAATTAATTTTATTAAGTTTAATTATAATGTTTAGTGTAGAATACCACAAATAGTTTAGTAGTGTTTTTATAGTTTATTATTTTGTAGTTAAGTTGTGGTTAAGTAGTAGGTGAAGGGATAATTTGGTTATTTTTTCTTTTTGTTTAATTAATTAGTAAGTTTGATAATTTTTTCAGTGTAGAATACAAGAAGTAGTTGTGTAGTGTTTTTATAAGATATTATATTAGTTTATTTTGTAGACGAGTAGTAGGTGAAGGAATTTGGGTATTTTTTCTTATTGTTTTTCTTCTAATTGTAGTAATTCTATTAAGTATTGTGATAGATACACTATATATCTTCCTTCAACTTCGTTGAAAAGTGCATTATCATATAATTTTGGTTTTCTGGTAGTAGAATATACGAAAAAAAAATCTGATCCAATTTATTTTAAATTAAATTAATCGAGTCTTATTAATCAAATTAATCTAGTCAAATAATAATAACAGTTAGTTTCTAAATACTACACAGGGTGAGTTTCCTACGATGTTCTCTATGGGTAACCCGGAAACTACTGGAGACTGGAGATAGAGAGTCGGTTAAATGGGGAAAGAATTGCAGTTTTGTGGGGTCATAAATATGCGCCTTTCGGATTTTTCGGAGAAGTTCAAGGCTTATTATATTATATTCCTATTTTAAAACTTTTGTCTCTAATTCCATTATAATCTACCGTATGATCGAATAAAAACGGCATCAACGATGTCTATGAAATGAAGATCGCTGTCATTTTATATGTAAAATTATATGGGAAATATCATCGATAGTCATTTCATAGCCATCGCTGACGCCGTTTTATTCGATCATACTGTATTTTAGACAAAAAGTTTTCACATAAAAGTTGTAGATAATCACATACCTAATGAGTTTGTGTTTTCTGTTTTTTTTTCTAAAGCCTGTCATTTTTGAGATATATGACACAAACGTTATGTTTTTTTTTAAATGGAAACCATAGTTGGCCATGACTTCATAAAAAGCGTCATTTTTTAAGCTTTTCAGCGATATAGGTAGGTATAATATGTTTTTTTCGAAAAATTACAAGTTATAGCCAATTCTTTTCTTTCTTGGCTAATTTCCATACCAATAATACCATACCAATTAGTTGGCACCAAGAATGTAAAAAAATTTGTTTTCAAAAAAAATATCGTAAAATTCGTAAAGCACTCAATTTAGAATAAAATAATCTAAGAATGAAATGATTCTTTTATAAACCTGCATTAAATCAAATTAAAATAGGTATGTAACTTTTTTTAAATATTAATTAATAGCAATTAGCATTATCATAAATTATTATAAATAATGTACCAACATATCGAAATAATAATTTCTTTGTTAATACGATTTAGAATTATTCTTAAAATAACAGGCAAAAATAATCCACAATTTATAATAACATAAAAGTTTTGTTTAAATTTCTTAATCAGCTGATCACTATTAAAGTTCGCAGAAACCCAGGGCTATATTATTACATTACTCTGAGGAAAATAACGAAAATAATCGATATTTTTGACTCCGCCCCGAAAGGTTCACGATTTGTCCTTTAGTTGGCAGCACATTTTGTCTAGTCGGTTGAACAACTTTAAGAATATATAAACAAGGGTATTACCCTTGTATATGAATTTTTAAAGTAGCTCAACCTAAGACGTTTATGGATGTAAAGCACCAGATGGCGGGGCGTATTTCACAGAAATACGCCCTTACTACAGAAAAATATTTTTTGTTACTCTGAATTTAGAAGCGGCCAATAAAAACAGAGAAAATAAAAATCGATAATTTTCGGACTGTGCCAATTGGTTACTAATAGACCAGATATTTTTTGTCTATTAGATATGCTATAAAAGCTGGTTTGGTTTGGATTATACAATTCGACCATTGTAAATACCCGACAAATTCCGCAAGGCCCACGAGGTCGATGTTTTTCACTGATAAGAAAAAAAATGTTTGTTTAGATAATTTTCGAGATATGTTTTCTTTCTGAATGCACATTTTAAAGTATTTTATATTCTTTGTCCGTTTGATCTATTACACTGGTCGCACGTGTCGAAGTTTTGTTTCTTGTAGTTTTAAAACATTTTCTTGTTTCTTTGTAGTCGTAATGTAAAATTAGTTTGATTATAATGTTTAGTGTAGACTACCAGAAGTAATTTAGTAGTGTTTTTATATTTTATTTTGAAGTTAAGTAGTAGGTGAAGGGGTAATTTGCTTAATTTTTCTTTATGTTTGATTAATTAATAAATTTGATAATTTGGTTAGTGTAGAATACAAGAAGTAGTTTGCGTAGTGTTCTTGTAAGAGATTATATTCATTTATTTTGTAGTTGAGTAGAAGGTGAAGGTATTTGGGTATTTTTTTCTTTTTGTTTTTCTTCTAATAACTGTAGCAGTGCTTTTAAATAGTGTGATAGATACATTATAATCTTCCTTCAACTTCGTTTAAAAGTGCGTTATCATATAATTTTGGTTTTCTGGTAGTTGAATATACGAAAAAAAATCTGATCAAATTTATTTTAAATTAAATTAATCTAGTCTTATTAATCAAATTAAACTAGTCAAATAATATTAATTGCAATCAATTATTAAAAAATATTAAGTAATTATTTTGGAAAATAACTTTTGAACTGGAATATTATTGATAAAATTTAGCCAATTTTTTTCACCCAGTAGCCGTATTTCAATATGATCTTATCATTTATCACTGTATAATAACTTTGTTGTGGCAGAAAAATATACCAGTTACTTTCAAAATATTATTTCTTTTCAAATGTCACAAAAGTATTAATTTTTGCGACGTGATTGACAATATAAAAGTCATTTTAACGCCTAGGCATAAAAGTAAAGCACTTTTACGCCGAAGCATAAAAGTATGAAAATATATTATTAAAATGACATAAGTCTCAAATTCAACGAGCCGTAACCATAGTTTCTCGATATATAATTACTCATGGTACAAAGAAAACTTGAAAACAAGGTATGATCGATAGCGACTCCATTTTCGTTCAGTTTGCGCATATCGCCTGTGACGTCATATGCAATACAAAAAAATATCCTTATTGTTCAATTGCCACTAATAAAAAAAGACTTAAAATAGGGAAGAATTCGGACATAATCCCTAAAGTTATGTAAAATCATCGAGATTGACATTTGAAAAGTTATGACACATTATACACATTTATTATGTATCATCTGTTTGAAAATTTGAAATTGGCGCGTGGAGCGTGCCGACCAATAGTGCCGTTTATCACCTGTGACGTGGTGACCAACCTGCGCAATATCATACCTTGTTTTCTTTGTATCATGATAATTACTTACAAGGTATGAGTTTTAAATCTTTTTATATTATTTGGAACGTTTGAAATTGTTTAAAAAATTATTTGTGGCGTTTGAAAAAAATAGCATGCTCTATTCGGAGTAAAATGACTTTTGTGCTTCGGCTGTATGTCAAACGTACAGTCTCGCCACGAAAAGTGTCATTTTTACTCCTAATAAAACAATATACTAGAAAGTTTTATGGTTTAACGGGCTTTGTGAGTTAAAACATAATGATATTTTCAGTTTCTATAATTCTTGATCGAAAATAAACGGCGTCAGTGATGGCTATGAAATGAAGATCGCTGTCATTTTATATATAAATTTATATGGGAAATGTAGTCGATCGTCATTTCCCAGCCAACTGGACGCCGTTTTTTTTTCATATGGTACAAATTTGACTGATCATGTTTTACGCTAAGAAAAATTTATTTCGTGTAATAAAGATTTAAATGGTGTATTAAGCACATAATATTTATTTAAATGTCAAATAATATTATTGAAGCAAGTGCCAAGTTTTATTTTTAATTAAGAAAAAATTTAATCAAGAATGTATAAAAGTTTTGTTTTTAAAAAAAAATTATGGTAAATTCATAAAACCTCAATTTAGAATAAAGTGATCTAAGAATGAAATAAAATTTTATAGCCCTGTGTCAAATCGAAATAAAGTAAGTGTATGTAACTTTTTTTAAATATTAATAATTACCAGTAATTAGCATTAATGTACCAACATATTGAAATAATAATTTCTTTGTTAATACGGTTTAGAATCCTTAAAATAACAGCAAAAATAATCGAAAATCAACAATGAAATAATAGTTTTGTTTAAATTTCTTAATCAGTTGAGCCCTATTATAGTTCGCAAAAATGCGAGCTATATTATTATAGTTCGCAAAAATGCGAGCTATATTATTACATTACTCTAAGGGAAATACCGCAAATAATCGATATTTTTGACTCCGCCCCTAATCACATGCTTCATTCCTTTAAAGCTTCACGATTTGTTCACCAGAGGCAGCACATTTTGTCGAGAGGTTGATCAACTTTAAGAACATATAAACAAGGGTATTACCAATTACAATAAAAACGCCAGGGTTACAAATGAACTATTAAATGGAAAATTGGATTGGAACAAGAGGCCTCATATCTTAGCTAGAGAAGGTCCTGTGATTTAATTCCTTTCGACTTTTTTAATAGGGGAAATTAAAAGACCTTATATATAAGAGAAGAATTAAGATGAGAGAAGAATTGCAGAAGGCTACTAGGCAAGTTTTTGGATTTATACAGTTCGTCTATAACAAACCAGTTCGTCTATAACAAATCGCTGTAACTCTGTACGCAAAAGATGTTTATTGTGTATACAACAAAAAGGTAATCAGTTGGAACACCTTTGATGATTTTCTTTAGAAAACTATATTCGTCACTCAAAAAATACGTTTTTTAGTTTTGTTCTTTGTTTATTGTATTTATATCAATTGCTAATACCAATATAGATTGTTAATTTACCTTTTCAAAAGTCTTTAATTATGCAGATAAATAATAATATACAATATAAAATTGTAAAAAAATAATTAGGTAAATAGGTCAACACAAAATCAAGGCCCGCTTCAATATAAAGATAAAAAACCTAATATTTCTCTCATTCTTAGAAATAAGTACCCATAACTTTATATCGTTGGAAAGGATTAAACGCCAGCATTTTTTTAAGTTCATAGCCAACTATGATTTCCATTTAAAAAATTATAGTTTTTATTATTTCTAACAAAAAGAGCAATCATAGAAAAAAACCGACTACGCCACTGGATTGTTCTTAAAAAAGTGCCTTAAGAACGTTTTTGCAGAATTTTATTATTCCGCGAAATAAAAAAGTTATGGGCAATTTTCAAAATGGTAAAAAAATCAAAAAGATCCCGTATCTCAGTTGGCAGTGAAAATATCAACAAGCGGTTTATGCCATTAAACGTGTCTCAGAAATCGAGCCCATGACACCTATGTCGGTTTTGCTCTATCTAGTCAGGAAATAGGTTTTCTCTGTTAAAACAGACCAATTTCGACCACCCTGTACAATACCGTTACCTACCAACATTCATTTATATCCCACAGCCATGATTTACTCCACAGTATTGTAATACCAAAAATAAAACTAAATGTATAGTAGAGACATCTCCAAGAATTTTCGCAAAACTTTGTTAAAGTCGATGGTTTATTTTGACCTTTCCTCAATCTCAGCCATCTTTCAACCTGACGTTCAGTCATATCCAATTGTTTTGCTAAACCTTGAATCTACAAAAATGATAAATAACCTTTAGCACTCTTAATCTTTTTTGTATCTATTTTTTTGTTTACTTGTTTATGTTTCCACTTCTTTGACTGAGAATATGCTTTCTCTAATACTGGATTTGGTGGCGCTTTCTTTGGTCGACTGTTCTTAATTCCTATACTTAATCCTACAGGAGCAAACCAATATCTAAAAGCATTACATATTGATACAAACTTATACCAAAAGATCAAATAAGAACGGCGTCAGCGATGGCTATGAAATGAAGATCGCTATCATTTTATATGTAAAATTTTATGGGGAATGTCATCAATGTTCATTTCCAAGCCAACGGGACGTCTTCTTTTTTTCGATCGTAAGGTAATATAATCTAACCAAATTTTTGAACATGTAAGTACTATAGTCTGCCGAACGAGAAAATACCTGAAAGTGATTGTTGTCTTTCATTTAAATTTGCAGGAAAATTATGTCCAATGTCACATTTCTTGGATGTCCTTTGTCGAAATCTTCCTTAACTCATTGGAACAGACTATAGTTATTATTATTATGATTGGAAAAAAGGTGTCAGAGGTGACTTGGAAATGAAGATCGATGCGATTTAATGAGTAAAATTTTTATTATATAAGGAATGACAACAATCGTCATTTAAAAGCCCACTTGATGCCGTTTTTTTAGGTGATAAAAGTTTCGGTAAACCAAAGTTTCTATTAGGATAAGATCTAATTCTATTTAAAATGAGCTTAGCTTAGTATCATCTTTAAATTAAATGTTAAATACCTATAGGTAATTTTATATTTCTTTTAATAAATAATGTTAAGAAAATCTTAATGAACAATTCAAAACTGATTTTTATAAAACTGGTATACCATAAAACTTAAGAACTTGGTAAGTATCTAATATAGGATTTTGTCAAAAAAACATTATTTTGTGCCTTTAAAAACGATTCGAAGGAATAAACACAATTTAAATATAACCTCACTTACTTTTCTAATAAATATCTTAATAACAACATAACAAAAGCTAAAGGTATGGGGTACCAAAGATGCCTATGGTCCGCATGTTGAATTTCAGTACTGGATTCGGGGGCGATATCAGCCCACGTAGTATTTGGGGGCAACCAAACTGTAGGTGACCAAAATGTGTCCAATGCTTTTCGAAGAAAATACGCCATTCTTCTCGTTTCACTGAACAACAATAATATTATTAAAAAAGCTTCGAACAATCTAACTTAACATAATGGAAAATAAATAATTTTTATATACACGATATTTTTTAACAACCGCACTAGTGTTGACTACACCCTCTCATGACATTGAAGCGCCTACGATGCTCGAGATGCGCATTATCATAACTCTAAGTTTGTTTTTATTTTGTATACAGGCCTAAAAACTATATTAATTGTCGATAAATAAATTCTATGACTAATAAATCTTGTGAATCTGCTAAAATTATATTAAAAACTTGGGAAATGTCATATTACTTTTAAAACTTAAATAATGCAATGTTGTCAGCTTTAATACATATAGCCTCTGCATATAGCATTTGATTTTTTTTAAATATATAAAAGTAATTCTTTCTCTAATGGCTTATACCTGCATTTACTATGTACTAAAAATAAAATTTTCTATAAGCAATTAATACATAATATCTTACTTTATAATGGAATTAATAGCTGCAGAATTTCAAGATTATGACCAATGACATCAATGCCGTTATTATGACGACATATCACCTGATTTTACCGCCCATTATTTAACCTAAATCCGACAACACTGCACTAAGGTTGCAAGTTTGAAATGTCATTTTTTAAGTGGCATTTTTAAATAAGAAATAGATAACAAGACAAGATAATGTTGTGATAATGTTGTTGATAAAATGTTATATGATGCAGTGTTTCACATTCAGATAAAGCAATGCAGCACCTGTTTAAGTATAAACTATAATCCTTCTATAATGTTTTATGTTTTCTGTGCTAAGTATAATGCCTCTTAAAAAAAGTGCTAGTTTTAAAATTACAAAAGTTACGTTTTTTTCGGAAACCCGTAAAGACCAAAAAAATATATCAAGATCAACTGATAAATTGAGACAAACTTATGTACCTGGTACTTTAAGCTCGGATATAGGAGACGCTGTAGGAAACAAACAATACGAATTGAGCGGTGGTGTTTCACACGAACTGTTGCGCGAATTACGACAAAACAAACGATTTCAACAGAGACAGACATTACAGGAAAATAGATTATCTAGGTCTATTGATTGCATTCAAGATAATGAAATTGGGGAACCAAAAACGACATCAGCTTCTGTTAGAACGTTACATTGTGACAGCAATTTTGGCGTAGTGCAAACTTCTAAAGAAAACGACAAATTTAAACCAAATGAGATAAAGTCCAATTCCCTTGGAAATATTTCTGTTGAGGTAAGAATTTTTAATTAGATTATCACCATAGTTTGATTTTACGCAGTCCATATCAATTACTTAAAGTATCCATAACAATTACATAAATTATCAACAAAAAAAGATTTTTTGTTGATAATTTAAATAAATTTAAATTTTAAAAATCAGCACAATAATAAAAATGGAAGTGGTACCAGAGGTCGGGTATGTAAATTATGCAACCAGTAAAACGGTATCTTATTTCAACTATATCACTGTAAACTTTGACTAGATATACCGTATGATCGAAAAAAACGGCGTCAGGCCCGATTCAAAGGGCCGGATGCTGTAAACATATTTTGTGTCTAGTGACTCATCAATCGTATACAAACAGGGATGGATGGGCCATATGGGAAAACGGGAAAATTCCCGGTGGGCCGGTGGGACGGTCCCGATCAGAGATCAAAAAAGATTGTATTAGCAATTGTTTTTAAACATAGACTTAAAATAAAATATAGACTACACTATTTACATCTCAACGCGGACAAACAACCTTTTTTGTACACATGTTTACTTCTGGGTACAGTCGACCGAGCCTTCCTCATCCAGCCTATGTTGTCACGTCTTTAATATTATCAATATTTTTTTTCTTGTTATACACATATATTGAGATATTAATACGACAGTTTAATAAAGTAGGTTTTAATATTCCATAGATGTATTAAATAGTCCTTATTCTACTAAATTATAAGTCGGATACTGTTTAATAAGGATACGTTCTTTACAATATGACAACATTGATTAGAGGCGAGGGAGCCTATTCATTCATTTATTACCTTGTAGTACGTGTCGCACGTGTGCGGTAAAGCTTTGTTGCCGCTATCTCCCCGGCTGTATTAACGCATTTTCTTAGCTTGTAGGCCTTAAGTGTTTATTTTATTGACTTTTTCTGTTCAAAAACTATAAAATATGGTTGGCCAGTGCCAAATTTGCAAGAAATTTGACTTAAATAATCCATTTAACTCTTGAAACGACTTTTGACTGGTAGGCAACTCTCAATTTACCCATTGGGAGTCAGTGGCGTTGTTGTAGAAAGGCGCTTATTTAGATAATATTTTAGTAAAATGTAAAATCTGAATTTTTTCTCTTACATTACATTATTTACTTACTTACATTGTAACAAAATCATAATTATAACCCTGTTAATAATTAATAATGTTTTTATTAAAAATATATTCCGGTTTATTCTAAAATTATCTTCAGAATCTAAAATAACATACAAGAATTTTAAAATGATATTACATTATGAAACAATATTTTTTAATATACCGGGTCGTCTCAAAAGTGGCTCACCCCTATAACTTTTTTAATTTTTCGGATAAAAAAAAACAGATTTGTATGTTAGTAGGTATATGACATAAATTAGGATTTATTGACGTATTCAATTGTTTTTGGTCTCTTCCTGTTTCACCGAAATGATTACATCTTTTGATTTTTAAACCTCGGTATATTGCTACTTTATTCGATAAAAAATGACACTCTGAATAGAATGACATATCATATGTCAACTTTTAAATTTCAATCCAGGGTACCATGGTGTTGTTAAAAACACTAAGTTTTAATCAAGGAGCCTTGGAAAAATAGTTTTGATCGTCTAATAGGTTTCGTGTCTTGTCTAGGCCGGTTAAAAGATGTACAAATCGTTTTTTTTTAATCATACATATGTCAATTTTTTCAAATGGAACAAGGGTGACTCATTAGCATATTTGGAAAAAGCATTTTTTTATGAATATATTGATACCACACACTTGGTATTTCGAGTCAAATTGTCGTTATGAACCGCGTGTTACAATTACAATTAAACCATATGCGAAAATGTCAAAAGTTGACATATTATATATCATTCTATTCAGAGTGTCATTTTCTATCGAATAAAGTAGAAATATACCGAGGGTGCCGTTTAAAAATTAAAAGTTATAGTCATTTCCGGTGAAACAGGAAGTGACCAAAAACAATTGAATGCGTCAATCAATCCTAATTTATGTCATATACTAACATACTAAATCTTGTTTTTTTATTTAAAAATATAAAAAAATTATGGGGATGAGCCACTTTTGGGACGCACCCGGTATAATAAAGACAGTACCGAGTTAAATAAATGTAGTTTTCATTTTATCCACTTCCTATCACCTTCCTTGCTTTAATGGAACAGATTTATGTTTTCTCTAATTTACATAAGACATCACTTAACCAGAAAAAAAGTACAACAATCATATTTTTCTTTCTCTCCCTGTCGCCGATTCTATTATATCTGTGGAATAGATCCTGTTTTGATTAATATTAGGGGTTGTAAATGTTTGACTAAAATTAATAATTTATTATTAATATCAAAAATTGCGTAATTTCGATTATAAAATTTCTTCTATAACGTGTATTTTATTATTTTTATCCTTTTTGGACTCTAAAACGTTTTTTCTAAACTTTTATTTAAAAAATCTGTCCTAAATCTTAATAAAATATAAGAAAGTTTAAATACGATATATTTCTAATTTAATTATAGCTTCATTAAAATAAAAAAATTACCCGGCTATGATACGAAGAGTTCAGGTGTACTTGAGAAACGAAAGACAGTGTTGTGTTTCTCGGCAGAGTCGTCAGGGAACGACCGTTACGACAGAGACAACCTATCTATCGCTCGTGTCGCACTCGTTATAACCTAAAACAATAACACAACAATAACAAGACAGTGTCTGTCCGCATGTTCCAGCTATTTATGAATGAGATGCTCAGTCTATATTTTATTTTAAGTCTATGTTTTTAAACATAAACACCAATTTGTAAAATAACTACCGTATGATCGAATAAAAACGGCGTCAGCGATGGCTATGAAATGAAGATCGTTGTCATTTTATATGTAAATTTATATAGGAAATGCCATCGATCGTCATTTCCAAGCCAACTGGACGCCGTTTTTATTTGATCATACGGTATTATAACATGTCTTTCTCTGGGAGACTTATAAGTTTAATAATCATCTGTTGTTTGTTCGGTTTGAAAATTTTTATTATACAAGATGAGTCTATAAGTGCAAATATTTTCAGGGCTGGTAGATCTTAATAAAATAAACATAATATACTATTCTCTTTATCGAGTTTCAAATAAGTTTAATCGAGTTATTAAAGTTTGGAAATTAAAAAAAATAGATTTATTTTTAAAAAAATTTAAGCCACCTCAGTTTTCCGGTATTTGCATCTCTTTTAGTGCCGTAATATCAGAGATTAAGAAACTACACCGTGGGAAAATTTGCGGTGAACAGGAAGTTCTAAAAAGTTTTCTAAAATATACAGGAAAATTTAAAAGAAAATGCTCGATTTTTAACATCTTTTTTTGCAAAAAAAACTCATAGACGAGTTCCTGGGGTCGAAATATATACCACCCTTGAAAATATTTGCACTTATATGACTCACCCTGTATAGTTTTGCCAACTATTCTTTTATTAATATCTAGACTGGCAGCAAAAAAAAAGAATGAATAGCATTAGGTAAATTTAAATACCTAGTCTCGATCTAAATGTATACTAAGAATACGGTAGCGTAGATTGACAACTGGGGCCTCGGTGCAATATTTTTCGAGCTCCCCTTTGTAAAAAAGTAGACGAATTTGACGCGAACTCTGCGGTTGACGGAGAAAACATACCTATCTATACTTGGTTTGAATTGGGGACACACTGGAAAGCCAAGTCTGAGAACTAAAAGCCAAGTCTAAATTGTTTAAAATGTTGCTAAAATGAATTTGTAAAAAATTACTGAGACAGCAGAGAAGAGTTAAATAGGGTTTAAACTAGATTAGATAATAAAATATTAATATGTCTCGAAAATCAAAATATTCTTATTATGGACTGTAACATGGCATTACATGAGAACACATTTATATCCACTGGCTAGGTATTGCCTAGGTTTTTTTTCGTTTGAGTCATGGCATTATCATACAAGATGCCAAATGTAGAAAAGTATAGAGGAAAAGTTTCGTGATAAAAACTATATAATAACCTAAAAAATGCTGCAGTTTTAATGCCGACCGCGGTTCATTCAGTTACGGTTCACACGTGTACACGAGGAGGCTGCGGTTGTAGCAGAAAAGAGAGAATTTCTTTCTACAATGTGTAAGAAGTATATACCCGAAAAGCTAAAAGTAATGTATTTCACAGAGGATTGGGTCAGCTGAACCGAATGAATCAGGAAGTCTTATAGTGTTTCAAAATCGTGACTCAAAATCGTAGCTTATTCAAGATCAAATTACCGTTATCGATAATGGATATAAAGTAGTAGAATCCTGTAAAACTGAGTCATTTTGTAGTAAAAATTCAGATGTCCGACCCAATATTGGTCTTTACGAAATTTTTGGTCAAGACAATTTAATTTTTTTTTTAAAACCGGAGACAAAAGAGTTTTTTCGCACGAGCGAAAAACGTCCTTACTTATATATTAATAAATAAAATATGTTTCTTCGTTATGGCCATTTTGTTTTTGTGGATTGGGGCGGGTTGCATGTTTTTCCCGGGCCGGTTTCTACTTCCCCATCCACCCCTGTATACAAATAGCATAGGCTAGACACTAAATTTCTTGCTACAGAGCTTACAGAATCCCACTGCAGCTGGCTTGGAAATGACGATCGATGACATTCCCCATATAGTTTTACATATAAAATGATAGCGATCTTCACTTGTGTCTAGCCCTAGCAGGCAACTATTAAGCCCGACCAATCAGGTTAGAGTTTTTGACAAACACAAATGAATTAACACCCTTCAAATAACCACGCTAACCAACCTGATTGGTCAAGCTTAATAGTTGACTGCTAGGG